CACAACTAAGCTAAACGGCTGATTGCCACACTGACGAAAATCTCAACTTATTTTATCTACATAGTTTTTAGGCATCTTAAGCATTGCCAGTATTTATTAATTGGAAATCGAATAAACGATAAAATATAATTATTAGCCTTCATAATAATTAAATTTTGGTTGCTGACAAAACTTTCCGACGGCAATTTTTTATTGGTTTCTCAGTATTTATTGTCTAAAAAAATAAAAACGTTTTTTCAAAGTTCACCTCACAAAATGTAATTAATCATATCACCGGATACCAAATAAAAAGGATAACCCAACCAATAAAATACTGTGGTGGCATTTTGTATAATCTGTTTCGTGAATAATGGCGCGTTTAACGCTAATCTTCGAACTTTTTTCAAGTCGAAACAAGCGGAGGTCAATAGCATTAGACAATGACCCTCCAGTGTGTTAGACGCGCGAAAATATATTGCTCTTCGTTACATATACGTTCGGAATCATCGATCACATCGAAGACGTTATTTTTTACTTGTGCACAGATAAAAAATTAAGTTTGCTTTTTTTTGCGGGCAAACGCCTCGTAACCAATGGCGTAATAAATTTAATAAATCATAAAGATCTCATGTGAGTCGAAATGGCGTACGAAATATGAAAAAATTCTACTTCATTACAAATTCTAGTATGTTTTCTAATCTCGATTTAATTGCACTTGTTTTAATTATGGCTGCATAAAATTAATGTTTCATTTAATAGTTATTACTTACCTGATATACTTCAAGATTATATGTGGTTTTATGAATTTTCTTGTTATAATTCCCAATATCGTTAACGCCACAGAGTAGGCTAGTTCTTACACGAAACTAAAATATCACAGCTCTAAAATGTATAAATGTTTTAGTTTAAAATAATATCATAAGTGTCACCCGATTAACGTGAAATTCCTTATCCATTTTCTTTACTTAGAAAAATCATTTATCTAGATCCTTTGGATGCCGGTCTCCTCCAACAGATAACAACTTCAACCTGGGGCTGGTCTCGAACTGGCTAAATCTCACGGTGGTCTACACCAATTTTCATGATAGGTATGGGACCTCCAATATCGAACACCACCGCGGCCCTTCTCGATAAGTATTAACTAACCCCAGCACCCCTGGGTTACTGAGATGGCTAGAAGCCGCCACGAGCCATAGGACTCCTGAAAGTCAAGAAAGTCAAGACTTTGCTTCAAATCCCCGTGAAATTTAACGCCCCGCCCCTCGCGGAAAACACTCGGTATCTATTATATATATACGTATATTCAATTTCTTCATAGACCCCCTGTCTACGAGGGTTCAACACACACACGGGACAACTTTTTACGTGACCCACGAATAAATGTCTCGGATCTGGGTGTTCGTCCACATGAAATTTATGAACATTTATTTCGGCTCCCTCTCAGAACTACTAATGTGAGAAACGATGAAAAAACGAAGGAAAGAAACGATGAAAAGTATCACGTGCTTATGAGGTAGTACCCTTGATAAATATAAGGTAACTGCAACACGATTTTTGGGCAGCGTTTACCACCAGGGAGAACGTTCGATCGATTGCCGCTTTCTCCTATAAAAAGTGTAATTCGTAGCAATTGCACATTCGACAACGACCCATTGCCGATTGCGAAAACTGGCTCTCGGCGTACGGTTTTGCACAACGTCGAAATCACACGTGGGCACGTATCGTCGATTTCGATTTGGGCAGTGCGGCCGTAATTTTGGCTTCACTTGTGAAATCGCGCGCTTATCGTCGCAAACTGGGCGTTGCTCGGCTTCCATAAAAGAACAGCCCATATATGTCCCATTGCTGGGCAAAGGACACGGTACAGAGAGTATTAAGGCAGTCTACCATGCTACCCCAGCGCGGATTGACAGACTTCACATATCTTCAAAAATTGTTTTGTCATTATTTCGAAAATGTGCAGGTTTCCTCACGTTTTCCTTCACCGCTGAGCAGTGATAAGTCAGGACTTAAAATTGCAACTAACTAACAATTACGTAGGTGACAGCACCGGGTTTTGAACTCATGTTGTTCGAGTATATTGAACTAATAGCGATCGCCGGGACTGAGCTATCACGGCTTCCACCGATAGGTGGTAAACGGCGAATCATTAAAAGCCTTTTTAATAGAGCCTAAGAGACGCTTTACTACAAACAACGATTTACGACTGTATCAGTGGTGCTTGGATTTAGTAGTTGTAGTTGTAGTTGTAGTTTAGTTGTTGTTTAGTAGAGTGGTAGAGCCACGCAATAATCTTAGCTGTTTCCCGAATGGCCAGATACGAGTACGTCCGGGTAAGTACTATGATCTCGCAGAAGACCAGCGTGAAGTGGAAGTGTTATAGTTATGGGTATGCTGGAGGAATAGGTAGCCGGGGCCCACGGCAACGTATCTACTATAATGTATAGCTATATAGCTGTACATTATAGTATAGCTAGCTATATAGCTACCTAGCTATATGTGCTTATAGTGTACATGGTTCCGGCCCAGGTTCCATACATTTCTGATTCATCCCCTTTCCATCGACCACATAGGTCGTTGGTACACAGCATTTTCCCCAGTCTTCCTTAATAACATATCAATAACGCGTGCAAATAGCTCTCCGCAGTAGGCGTATTGTGTAACCATTCCTTTTAGCCCGCGACCGATTCCGACTCTTTGGCAATGACATTTCGTTAGGGAACGCGGAAGCGCTCGCGTCGCTTCAGCGTCGCGATGTAAATAAATACAAGCGAACGGGCATCTTGTAAAGCGCTTCGGACTTTCACTTTTGTTGCGGGCGCGAGCTACGATCTCGGCGGTATAGGCCTGTCGGTATACCGCCTCGTACTGCATCTGATGCGAGTGATGATTTAATTATTCGGCATCTGGGGCCCCTTTTTTTAATTTTTTTTTTAATTTTTATGTGGAAAGTTGCCAGGCGAGCAGACGGTTCACCCGATGTTAAGTGAATACCGCCATGGACATCTGCTACACCCGAGGGTTGTAAATGCGTTGAAAACCTTTTGAAAATTGGTTTCCACGGTTTGAAGTAAGTGGTACAAATGTAAGTCTCTTTGTTTGGATTATGTATTTGTGCCATTTGCTGCTGAAACTTTGGGCCCGTGGAGTCCCCGTACATAGAAATTTTTGAAACGTTTACGTCCTAGGCTTATCGCCGCGGCTGGTGTCAAGATGGCTGGTTCTTTTCTCGCTCAAAGATAAAGAAACTTATACATCATTTTTTTAAAATTATTATCATGTTATAAATATATAAACAGACAGACACTGGAACACTATGATCTTAACACAATATTTTTCCAGTAGTGGGGATTGAACCCACACCCTCTGGCGCAAGAGGAATGTCCACTACTTACAAGGCCAATCGAGTCACTAGTATTTATTCCAATACATTATTAAAATTCAATACTACTTCCTGTATATCAAGGTTTTGTAGCATTTAATCTGGTTTTAAATTCCTGAGAAAACTTTAGAGCGCCTCGCGTGTTAATGTTGCGCAGTAATCGAAGTTTCTGTAGATTCAGGACAAATTTTACGCCGTAAAATCCATAAAATAGATAATTTCAGTTAAATAAACATTAACAAAGATTAAAACGTGAAATGGGGAAACATCATTCGTTCACAACATTCAGATCCGAGGCCATGACATTTAGTTTTAAAGCCCAACGTCCCAACTACTGCGCTATTACGGACTGTATCAGATTATGGATCCCATTCTGAAAAGGGAAAATCACAGGTATCAGCGGTATTACGTACTCCAGATCTCATCAGATATCATCTCTAGTAAAAGTTCAATCAATTTAAGAGTTCATTGTTGGCAATCAGCCTGTGCTTGCGCTGCGATCGTTGCCGATACGCTGTGGACCTCCGACCTTTACTTTGAATTCTTGGATAGGTCATCGTGCGGTGGATGTGTCGGTGCACCAGAATCACTGAAGAGAATGAAATAAAGTACGATCTGTGTACTATTTCGAATTTAAAAGAATTTTCGAGCCCTCACGGGTTTGACATTGAAAACTATTTATGTAATAGTTTTGCCGTACTTATACACACTGGAGAACAAATAAGAGAGAGTACTTTTTGCACTTAAGAAATCCTTAAAAAAATATGTCATTGGTGCGAACTACTGAGAATCGAATCCGCATACTTAGATCGCAATTTCGATGTCCTAGTAACCAGAAAGCCGCTTAGTACTATTAGAGATATCATAAGCAATTTTGTCGCTCCACAAATTCAGTTAAAAGGAACAATTTAAACACTGTTATTATAGAGTGCAATTAAGAATGGTCTTTTCTAGGCCCGAAATAAGATTTAAATTTCCACAAAGCTCATGCAAAGCACCAAAGTGCGTTAGGAAATCGACCAGTAACCTAAACTGCAATTTATTAACTCGTTTTAAGATATCCCGTATTGCCAGACTATGAGTTCGTTGGTCTACATTCGTACCTTCACTGCGAAAAATAGCTTATCATATTTCTAAGTACTCTATGACTTCGACATATGTCTTTTGATTGCGGTGTAGGAATCTAAGTTAAAAACGATCTTTTTAAATTTCACTAAACTTTCTCTTTGAATTAAGTTTCTAACGTAAAATGTTGGTGACCCTGCAGAAGACACTAGTACTAACATAACCATTTCACACATGGACTATATTAATGTATGTTGATAAATAATTGTAAGTCTATTAGAGAAAGTAGTTTTCTATCTGATAACGATTGTACGCCAATGTTTTGTATATCACCCTTCGCTTTGTTACAAATTACCTTTTATATAAAACTAGTATAAATATAAAATATTTCTTGTCTTTGACACTGTTCCCCCTTGAGGGTACTTCTTCGACCAACATATATATACATATAGCTATAACATATCTGGTAAATACTTATTAAATTAAAACTTTTAAACCTGTTGGAGTGCATGATTTGGTTCTGTGAAAATCTAAACTCAGTAACTAAATATTGGTGAAATCTAAATTTACTCACCAATGCAGGCGAATCAAGGGGCCCAGCGGTCTTGGACCTGGTCTTCCGTCTGTCGCTCTCAATATCAGAAGGCCTCGACTGGTGGTCGCTTTCCCTGTCCGAGGAGTTGTACCGTCGCTTATCCTCTTCGTGGCTCTTGTATCTTCTATCACCTTTCAATGTTCTGTCATACCTGCAATGAATGTTACGTGAAGAGAAATCCTTTTGTTGCACACAAACTTAGTGTTGACTATATGTTAGTATTGTACAGTTGTACATTACGCAGTTGCTAAGTTATTGGCTCTGATGCCGAGGGCCGTCGGTTCGATTTCCAGACGCTACAAGTAATTGTGTGACCCACAGATAATGAAACGGATAATAGTTCCGGATCTGGGTGTTTGTTACCCAGGATGGTTAACGTGAGACTGGCGGCTGGTCGTAAAAAACTAGCCAAAACAAGATGAGCCTCATGTTTCACCGACCCCACCTAGTTGGGCTAAAGGTACGATGATGATGACGAGTTTTGTACAGGCGTTCGCATTTAGTTCAGCAAGAAAATGGAAATCAAATCGGTGGGGTTACCAATTGTTAATAGCGGTCTAAGGCGCTTGTTTAGTGTTCATTTGAAGCTGAAGTCAAGTTTCGTATTGGAAACTGTCTGACATATGTGTGATTTGAAAATATCCTAAAAGTATAAACTAAATATATGTCAAGCGACATCCAACAATAAGCATTGAGGTGGACCATGTTCCTTTACGAGTACAGTAAAGACGTCTTCAAAGTATCAAGCCCTCTGTTCAAGAGTGGGACGTGAGTAAGGAGTCAGCAAAATTACTTTATAGAATTTATTTGCCGAGAGAATCTCAAGACTGAATAATTAATCTTATCTATATGTATCCTCATGTTAAATCTTTATGTCCTGCACATTACTGAATTTTTAAATCATTCATTGTTGTTTCTAATCCCATTTTGTAGAATTAAAAATGTTATTATTACCTTCCATCGTACTCCGTTTCCCTGTACTTTTTCTCGTTTACTTCACGATCGGAGCTTCTGTACCTGTCCAAATCTTCTCTTGAATGTTTATATCTTCTTTCCGCTTCTTTCGGATCGTAATCTCTTTTTTTGACGTCTATGTCACTCGGTTCAGGGTCGGTATACCTGTTGTTATATTCAAATTATAATATTTTGACGTTAAAGCTACATGTGACAAGGTAATTTAATCTGTCTAATTTGTTATCAAATTTGAAATGAGTTACGGCTATTTTATTATATAAATGTAAATGTCTTTGATTAGATTTCTTAGTTTGATTAGTTACTTGTATGATTTTTTTATTTTTTGTCTGCTAATGCGTGACAGATAAAGTTATTTTTCTCTTAAATGATAGTTCCAAAATAACATACAGTTTATTGAAATTAATATAATACCTTTGTAAAATCCCTTAACGATTCGTCCATTTATGTTAAATATCTATTAATGGTTTTAAACAAGGCAATCTTTATATTGTGTTTTGTAAATACAGACTCAGCTATTACTTTACTTTTTAGTAAGCTTACATTTTAAAAAAGATATATAACAATAATTTACTCGAAAGTTAAATAAATCAGAATATCACATCATTTAAAATTGTATACATTTAGGGATTATCATAAGTTTAAAGTAATAAAACCTAAAAACCATATTTACTTTAACCTATATAATTATTGGACTTGGGTTCCCTGGAGGAACTAGTTTTCTCGAGCCATGTTATAAATTCAAAATTAACCCTCTGGCTTTGTAACGTTCGAATGAATCTTAGATTGCCAACTGTTAGTAGTAAAAACAAACTTGGAACCTAGGTGTACCTACTATTTTAATGTTTTTATGCAAAGTTGTCTAATTCTGAAACTATTTTTACGTACCTTCTATATTCAGAATCGTCTCTGGCAAGATGTTCAGGGCTCTTGAGTACCCGCGTGCGTGTTTTCGGCTGAACTACCTCTTTCTCTTTCTTGCTCTTCTTAGAAGAGTCGCGAGAGAATAATTGTTTCACCTGGAAAAATCAGTCAATTTAATATTCAGTTCTTTTAATACGATGTCTATTACTGGCGATTCTTTAATTGTTATTAACAATAAACTACGTACTTTCTCAAGTCCAGAAAGCTTTTTCGTAGCCTTAGGAGGTTTCGCACTGATTTTATCATCGTGTTTACTTGGACTTTTCTCATATCTATTATGTTTCGGTTCAAAATTGGAGCCGTCGTCAGCGCTTCTCTCTCTCGAAACATATTCCTTCCTATCATCCCGTTTGTAGTCTTTGAATGTGGCTAAGTATTCACCGTTAGCGTAAATCTGTTCAGCTGGATAGTTGTCTTCAGTGTGCCTCCTCTCACTGGCTAAAAATAGGGATGTATTGTGTACATCGTCATCACTCTCGTGTCTCATGCGCCTAGTTCTGTGGATTTCGCCGCTTGAATCCTTTCGGAAATCGTTTTCGATTCCAGAATCGACTAGTCTATTGTCGAAATCGTATCTGCGAGGCGATCGTTCTTCTCGATAGGAATCCCTGCTGTCACCTGAATCGTGGCGACGTATTTTATAATCTTCCTTGTAATGTCTATCCTTGTTCTTAACGCGCCTCAGAGAGTTATGATAGGACTCGCTGTGCTTACCGTTGTACCGCAGGTTGGCGTAATCATCTTCTCGCTCCTGGGCAATTTCTGGGTTGGATGCATAATGACCCTTCCTTTTACCGAACCAATCCTCTTTACCCTTGTATTTTTGACCAGACTGGAGAAGGTCATGACTAGAAGTGAAGTGTTTTTTCACTTTATACTTTTTCTCTGTGTACTCGTCCGGTGAAAGAATAGGTTTTCGTGGATTCGACTCTAGGCTAGGTGGTTCGTATTCGGGCTCTGGAGGGAACACTTTCTTTTCTTCTTTATACCGTGGTTCCGGACTAATATTATACACACGCCGGTCAACATCCTTGTGAATCTTTTGAAAGGTTCTACTTTCTGTGTTGTATTTAACGTTATGATTATCCGAATCGTATTTATTAAAATCTTCTGTAATGTTGCTCTCTACGTAGCCATCTCTCTCCAAAGTTTCACGATAGTATCTCGCTGTCTCATTAACGTATTTCTCAGTTGCTTTCATACGTTTTTCCGCTTCATATATCGGATCATTCTCAACGATGTATTTAGTTATCGGCTCTTCGATGTTTACTTTTCCACGTTCTAAACGTCTAGCATTTAAGCGTGACTCTAAAAGTTGACGCCGATGGCTTAACTCGTTGAAGTCCAAATCAATTTTGGTATGCTCAGGTTCTATCGGCTTCTTTTTAGTATCCATACCGTCCGCTCTACCTCTGTAGTTTTCCAAATTATTTCGCACATTATGTTTGCTTGGATACTCATTTGCATAGGTAGGTTCAAAATCATCAAAGTTCAGTAATTTATATTCTCTAAATCTTGGACGAATAGGCGACTCCTTAATGTTGGGCACTTCGAAGCTATTAAAGTTTTCATTTTCTTTGTTTTTGTATTTGTAATCATAATTACGTTCAGCGGAGTATTTGTATCTTTCTTCGTATCCGAGACCTTCGTCTTCATCGGAGTAGTTTCCATTTTTCTCGGGCGGGGAATACATTCTTGTTTTACCAAACGGGGGTACACTATCTGGCGAGTCCCTTACGACTTGAGCGTAGACAATGCCTTTTTCCATTTTATTGACGGGGGTCGGTACCCTATCTGGGCTTGTGGTCCTTACAAAAAGGTTAGGGTCAGGACTTGCACTGGGCTTAGTATACGAAAACGGTTGATTTATATTACTGCCGTGAGGTGGAGTTATTAGATGGTTTTTAGGTGGTGGAGAATCTTGATCCTCTTTTAAAATTTTGACAAGCTGGTCAACTGTTTGTCCTCTAGTCAGCGGTGGTTTTTCTGGGGGCTGCTGACTACTATGTTTCATTTCCTTATCACCATAGACGTTTTCCTCGATTTTCTTGATGCTTTCTTTTATTTTATCTTTTACTTCTTGTTGATTTATTTCTTTATCTTTTGTTGAATCAATCTCATCGACCAAATTAGTCTGCTTAACGTTAGTTTTGCGTTTTGGAGTATCACCTATAGGCGGGGAGGACTCTTCCCTTCCTCCCCCCTCACTCGCCGTTAAGCTTTTACTTCTGGAGGGTGTTTTAGGATCTGTTTTATCTGTGCTTTTATATCTGGGAGGTTTAACTACAGGATTAACTTTTTTGATATCTGTGGCAATTTGCTTATCGGATTTGTTAGAGTTTTTCTGCTTCAATCTTTCTTTTTGGAATACGTCTAGGGGAGGCGTCTTTTTGAAATAATCTTCCCTAGGTGAACTCTCTATAATGGGCGAAAGCTGTGACTTCTTATTTCTTAAGGATTTAAGAAATTCTTCAGTTTCACTCCCAGACCTCTTTCGAATAGGTTTAATTTGATTATTTAAAGTTGTATTGGATTTCAGATCAGAGACGTCACTTTTACTTCTTTTCACAACGACTATAGGCTTTCTGGTAATTACCACGGGTACATCGGGGCTCTTGTTTCTCTGTGCTCTTCTAAATAGAGTTGAGAGAGAGGTCCGTTCTTTTCTTTTCCTAGCGGTGACGTCACTCCTTGACCTGCCTAGGGGTGATTTGACAGTGCCCTCTGGTGACCCTGCGTCGTCGCTGTTCCGTCTTGCAGACCTGTCTTCTTTAAATTTTCTTCTATGGGGTAGGGAAAAGAATTTGTCTGGTGGATGATCGGCGGTGCAGCTGACACTTTTGGCTTGAGCAAGTACTCTATTTGCTTCCTCAATTAGTTCTTGTTCGGAAAGATGGGTAAAGGGTTCCTTCCGGATTGATGGAGATTGATGTTCTGAAGAGGCACCCCGGTCCCGGGGTTTACCTGCAAAAGAGACGTCAAAATTAACTTTTACATTATTTTAAAAGAGAGAGTTTTTTTTGTATTATTGCAAGGTTTTGATTTAAATTGATATTTAATACCAAAGGATATGCTACCAATTATACAAAATTAGTTACACACTATTTTCAAATTTGTAAATTATAAAAAATCAAAAATACTCTCAAAGGTATTTTATTTTGTGAAAAATAAAGAGTTGTATTTAAATTTTATTTTACCGATAATACAGAATTACAGAATTCTACATTCCCATTGTTATTTGCAGATATTATTGACGTAAGTATTAAAAGCGTAAAATTCTTATTTTATTGCAATATCATTATTGTTACTCTACCAGAAAGTAGTTCTAAGCGTCGAAAAACAAATTATTAGGTAAATCCATTAATATGTAAATGCTAAGCAAAAACGTTCATTATTAATTAAATGTTGAATAAAAGGTGCTTTAATAGTGTTCGACATTCATATATGCTTATAGAAACATTAATCATGACACCGGGATACGTTTTTGTGGTAAAGTCGTTTTCGGTCATTAATGTAAAGTAATTTATTTTTTTAAATTGATATTATCGTCGACGGTTAGCAGACGGTTCGCCTGGTGTTAAGTGATTATTGCCGTGCACATTAACACGTGTAAGATTGCAAATACTAACCAACGGCAATATAAAAAAAGTAATTTAATGCTTATATATATTATAGAAAATATCAGTAGTTTGTATTGTTGCTTTTAATCGTTAGACTGTCGTTTATCGTATATTTATATGTCTAAACTAATTATATGGAAGACTGTCGTGGATTGTGTATAATAAAATTATGTAATAATATTCAGACTTCATACAGTGTGGCTTAAAAATACGACGCTAACTTTGTAAGCGGTTTAAATAAATTATGGCTTTGTCTCTTTCCAGGGATAAACATTTTCCACATACACTGTGGTCATACATAATAATTTTAACGACGTCAGTAATCATAATAATATATCGAATTCAAGAACCAATTGACACAAAATAGATTAATTCATAATTTATGTGTGTATTAATTGCTTCAATTATTTAATACCATTAAATACTATTGTGCTTTTATTAGGTGGAAAATTGGCAATTTCGTTTTGAGACTTTATTTTATGGTTGTTTTTCGGATTAAGAGGTGGAGCGGGATCTTTTCAAACTTAAAACCTTAGTTTTTTCCCAAGGAGGGTTTATATCAGGCCGTAAAAATCATACCCAAAATCACTTGATGATTCACATGTTGTTCCGACCCAACTTAGGCGGGATAAGGGTAGCATGATGATGAGTTAATAAGCTATGCTAAGACACGGGGTATTTTATATCCCGTGGAATTTCCAACAGAGCGACACGCATGAAGCGGAAAAATCTAGTACAAATAATTATGTATAAGTTCAATATCGCTTGGAATATTACAGGGTGTTATCCGAAGAATACAATACTATACTTGTGTCATTGCATATGGAGGGATCCAGGTCAAACCTTGCAAGTCTATAACTGTAGGCAGAACTTTTCCCCGACCTTGCTTTAAACTGAGGCTGCGAACAAATACCATCGCTACCACCTCGATTGTTTGCAGTCCACGACGGGGCGTTTTTACGCGACTGCGCTAGAAGGGGGGTTATGTTTTTCGATTGTATGTATGTATAATTGTTTGGCATGCTCTGCAGACTGAACGGTTTGATGCATTTTAGCTTGAGAGGTGTCGTTAGATTCGTATTTACTGTGAGAGTGACACTGGGTATATCAAAATAATTTCCAAATTATACAAAACATAGTCGGTTTTTTTAAGTTTTTTAAATTATATTTACTTGTTCGCGTAACTTTCTGCCACGCAGAATCAAGTTGTGGAATCAGTTGTCGCCGCCGGTACCCAGACCAATGCGACTTAGGGACCTTCAAGAAGAGAGCCTATTCCTTCCTCAAAGATCGGAAACGCATTAGCGACTTCTCTGATGTTGGGTGTCCATGGGCGGCGAACACTTACCAACAGGTGTCGCGCCTGCTCATTTGTTTCCTTTAAAAAAACCGGTCAAGAGCGAGTCGAACTCGTACGCCGAGGGTTCCGTACCCACCCATTATACCGGCATACTAAACTTGGTGAAAATGATCACCTGTTTCTGAGAAATTGGTGGTGACACACGGACAGGGAGTGATCTTATAAGGGTTCCTTTTTTACATTTTAAGGAAAAAACACAAAAATCGTCTTTGTTTTGACTCAAGCCTATTTGTATGATAACTTTAACCGGGTGACCATACGATGCAACAATATTCAAGAATGCTTCTCAAGAAAGAAGTTTACAGAATCATTAACAATTTTTGACTTTTGAATTTTTAAAGGCTTAGTGGCTTAGTGGCTCTGTTTTATAATGTTGTGTTTACCTGTAACATACTTTTTTTATGATTAAGTTTAACCTATTTTAATGATTGACATTAAAATAAGTTCCTTGTTTTCCATGTTTAGTCGGTAAGCCTTAATAAATAAATACATGTAACTTTAGAAAGCCATGGAATCCTGCTTTATTTCGCAAAGTCCTCAGAGAGCGAGGCAAAGTTCAAGACTGCTCATCCGTCAATCAATAAAGCAGCAGTATTGAAGATGTCGTGTACCACGTAATTATGTAATAAATTAATTGCACCATGATAAAGCGTAATTATTAACACTACTTCCGTGTATATAATGTGACATCATTTGCTATTTGAACTTTGATTTTTGACGTTTAATAACAATTGTTCATCAGAATGACGAGATCTTTCGACAGGTATTTTTTTAATGGCATTTGTAACAAAAAATTGTATGTCCCTCGTAAAGCAGTTTCGACCCACTGCGCGCCGTCTCGGTTGCACTTCTGTTTGTTAATGACACAGGCCATAGAGTGTCGATTGCAGCGTACCGGAGACCGCAAGATGTCGCGTCTGTTCAATCATCTTTATTTTCGGCACGGCGGTTCGACGAAAACACTCCTCGGGTTTTTTGTGGCGACTGCGCGTTTTTTTCATCGAATTAAATTACAGCGGACCCAAGTTTTAGGGCTCCCTTTAGTTTTGTTGACGTTTAAATTTAATATCCCCCCTCGTTAGCTCGGGCTCGTTGAGCCTTCGTGGTTTTTATTCGGGTAATTGTGTCCGGTTTCCCACAGGCCGTATTTCGGGACAGCTATCGACAGTTTGAATGATCCGACATCTCTAAGTGGCTGACGGTTGATGTAATAAGTATTGAACGCGTCGGATATTTAGAAACAATGCTATGAATTACATATAAGAGATAGATATGAGTCTAGCGCACCGAAACTGAGCCACTCCAAAGAAGCCAATTTGTGTTTTTTGCTATTTCTTTCCGTATCATACGTTCTATATCTACTGTCACATTAACTTATCAAAAGATTAGTATTGAAAGAACGTCAATGGACTTTGTGTATAACCCTATAAAACTCTCATAAAGGGAGGGTTGACTTAGTGTTTTTTTTTAATTATGTTTGTATTATTTTGGTATCCATTTCGTTATATTAAAACCGCTAACAAAACTGTTGGAGGGCTGTCTTTATACCTTTATATACGGATAAGTGAATGCGTCTATAAAGGTATTATACATATACCCACTTGTGCCACCTACGCCGAAGTCAATACACTTCGGAGACGAACAAATGTAAAAAAAGGCCGCATGAAGTCATCACCCGATTTAATCGCTCTCACACTGTAACGTCGCAACCGATTTCGGGTTTTGAAAGCACGAGGGAGAGAAAAAAAAATAATAAAATTTACTACACTAATAAACGTAAGAGCATTAAAAAAGTAAGGAAAAGACATGGATGACGTTTTCGCTTCTGCCTTAATTGGACTCTCAGTTTTGTGCATTATCATTGGGGCATTAGTAACTGTTGAACGTAATGGGGTGATCAGAGATAGATACAGTTTGGGTCTTTAATGCTGCCTTGGATGTTTTATATCAGTTATAATTTCGGAAAAATAAGCGGTTAATATTATTGTACTTATTGTATTTATTGTATTTATTGTATTTATTGTATTTATTGCATTTATTTTATTTATTTTATTTATTGTGACGACCTGTGCAAGTGTGCGGATCGATGAATGCAAGTGACTCAGGATCGTTCTTGGTGGCGGTCTGATGATTATTGTCTTTGACTAAAATAATCATCATCCTCCTACCCTTATCCCACCTAGGTGAGGTCGGCACATCATGTGAATCATGTTTAAAACGGTTTTGATTATGTTTTTAAGATCTGCTGCCTGCCTGATATAAATCCACCTTGGGAAACAAACACCCCTTATCCGGAATAATTATCTGTGGGTCAAACAAAACACTTGTCCCGTGTGGGAATCGAACCCACTGCCCGGCGGCCCAATAGCTTAACAACTGCGCCAGCTTTGAATAAACTAATAAGATGTACATATATAATGCTACTAGTTATGTCCTGCGATTTGACGACCTACATTTGGATGCACAGCACGTGTCGTCTTGGTCCGCGTCTAGTGCGCATGTCACTTGTCAGATTGATTGACGTTTATGGTCACTGTCAAACTCTTTAGGGTCATAGTGTGAAGCTACGTAGCTCATCACCTACGTCAATACATGAGCTGTCAATATATACTACAAAGAATGAGCGAACGGTTCTAACAGTAACGGTCAGACGTAAAAATATAAAATTATCATTAATAATACAAGTTTACGAGTACTCGCCGTAACTTCATGCAACAATGCAGTCATCATAAAGATCTTATACTTAATTGTATTCAAGTATATTTATCTTGTATTTTAATAGTAATATCTTATAACATTCAGAAACAATTGAATATACTCGTCGAATGTAGAATATATTGCTCCACAGGTGTTGCATTTTTAATTTTTTAATTTAATATTTTAAATTAGCATTTAAAAATGCAATTTACAACTAAGTTATTGCCAGCACGGGGTTTCTAATTCAAGTGGTGCCACGCTGTGTTTGTGCGGTTTATAATTATGTT